TCTCGATACTTGAATAAATCTCCCAGATTATTCCTTTAATTCATTGGAACTAATTACACTTTCCAGTCCATTTTCTAATAACTAATTCATCAACATAACCTTCATTTCAAACATAAATGCAACTACCCACTTCAATCTAGTGACAACTAGTAATTATAATTCAACCCATAGAATTTTCATCTTTTTTTCCATAAATTCATACTTCCAAGTAAGTATTTCATCATAACAATCATTTCACCAAAATACTTCAGTCAAGAATCTAAATAAAAATTCTAGAGTTTGCCCAAAAATAAAATTTCTTACCTTGATGTAAATGGAAGGTAATTAATCAAGAAATTTGAACTAACAATGGTACTCCTTCAACTTAATCTGAAAATTAAACCCACAAATTAGAACCCTAGAAATTCAACATAAATTATTCCATAAAAATGTTACTACTTCACCTCTTAAAGAAAATTAGGAGTTCGAATAGCCAACCCAACCCCTTTTTTTGCTTCTTTCTCCTCTTCCTTCTTCTCCTTTTTCCTTTTCTCTTCCCTTTCTTTCTTTCTTTCCTTTCTGCCCGTTTCTGGTTCAACGTGTATGGGTAGGAATGAGAATGAAAATGGATTTAAAAAGTGCTAATTATTGGAGCATTAAGTCATAATTGCAAAGGAAGTCCCCCACCTTTCATTTGACGTATAAGTAAATCCCCAACTTTAAATTTTATCCATCTTAAACCCTCATATATTATCAATTGTAAAATAACCCCAATCAAATGGTTTTCTTCATTTAAGTCCTATTTGACCATGACTTTGACAATTTCACTTTGACTTTTGAACTAAAAAAAATGGGTTGTAACAATCTTACCTCCTTAAAAAAATTTAGCCTCGAAATTCGGTGGACATCGGCTAATCAAGGAATAGATGAGGATATTGAGCACGCATCTGGTTCTCATTTTTCCAAAGTAGCCTCTTCTACCGCCTGATTCCTCCAAAGTACCTTGATAAGTAAAATTGTTTGGTTTCGCTGGATTTGCATCTTTTTATCTAGAATCCTCACGACTCTTCCATATAGGTTGAGACTCTAGAACATGAGAAGGATCTGCAATGTATTTGCGGAGCATAGAAACATGAAAAACATCAAAGATCCTGGAGAATTCATCTGGCAAATCTAATCGATATGCAACTGTACCAATCCGCTTAGTAATCTGATAAGGTTCAATATATCGTGGACTCAACTTTCCTCGTTTGCTAACACCCATTTCCAAGGCGACAATTTCAAAAATATTTTATCTCCAACTGCAAATTCAAGATCTTTCCTGCGCCTACCTGCATAACTTTTCTGTCTGTCTTGTGCTATTTTCAAATTTTCTCTAATCAAATTCACATTTTCTGAAGTCATTTGAACCAATTCAGGATCTACTAACTTTCTTTCACCAACTTCATTCCAACATACTTGTGTTTTGCACTTCTACCATATAAAGCTTCAAATGGAGCCATTTTTATATTGGAGTGGTAACTGTTATTGTAAGCAAACTCCATCAAAGACAAATGAGTATCTCGGCTACCTTTTAACTCTAAAACACAAGCCCTCAACATATCATCAAGAGTCTGTATAGTTCTCTCTAACTAACCATCTGTCTGGAGGTGAAAAGTTGCACTGAAATGTAGTTTAGCACCCAAGCTTCTTGCAAAACTAGGCAAAAATTTAAATGTAAATCAAGGATCCCTATCTGATACAATAGATAATGGAGTACCATATAAACTCACTATCTCATCCACATACAACTTGGATAACTTATTTAAAGAATGAGTACCATCTGTCTGAGGGTGAAAAGTTGTACTGAAATGTAGTTTAGTACCCAAGACTTCTTGCAAACTAGGCCAAAATTTAAATGTAAGCCCCCGTTTGATCTACATTATTATCTCGTTAACATGAAAAGTAAGACCGTCATCCATCACATAAATATTTAAATTCAAATTTTCTACCTCTTACGTGGGCCCCATAACGGCT